ATCCTGTCCAGACGATTGGGTCGACCCAGCTGAAAGTGGCAAGCGAGAAAACACTGGCGATAGGTTCCCGGGCTGGCGCGATATCGCCTTCATACTCTAGCTCCACCGCCTTGTTGCCTTTCCTAGAGCACAAAGAAATAAGGAATAGTAGCGAGACGAGGACGAAATCGCCAATCATCAGCTTCCGGTGTAGGGGCGATCGCGGGTGGATGATGGCCGACCGGAATAAGAGGACGCTGAAGACCCATTGGAACCCGTAAATGAAGGCAGTGTGGTACCACAGCTTGGGGAACGAGAATCTGCTGGTGCTGGAGAATAGCAATCGCAGCGAAGCCAGGGTGGCGATGTAGGCCCAGACTGCAACATTGGCAATGGCCGCAAGCCTGCCGTGCCTGCCCCAGACATTGGTCACCAGCACAGCGACGTGGAGTGCCAGCTGGGCTAGTACCGCCACTTCCTCGAGTATGACGACCGTGAGCTCTCCGCGGGGTTTGTCTACGGCCATGGTGGAGACCGTGTTGACAGCGTGAAGCGCGAGATCTTCATTCCGGTCAAGGTCGTCTTCGGCATCTTCGTAGGGTTCGTCGCCATCGTAGCGAGGGCTGCGGAAGGACCAGACATTGGTGGGGTCTTCGAGGACACTGTAGGCGTGGTAGTATCGGGACGCGGTGGCGGCGAAATAGAGTTGGACCAGTAGATAAACGACGGATATTCCGCATACGATGAGAGGGAATAGTGTTTGAAGATAGCTGCGACGTGTTAGCTGAGTGGTCGTTCGTGGTGGCGCATCGCCTATCGGATGGCTGCAGTGGCATCTGAGACATCGCGTCGTGGCGCAAAGCAAAAAGAAGCACCTACTCTTGCTCGAAGCACCGCGAGAAGTCGTCTCTGCCCCAGAACGGGCCTCTACAGTGGGCGAACATGGTGTCTGCCGCAGTTGTACGAGACCTGTTGTGACCTGTGGTGGTGTTCAAACCTCCAGCACTCGCACTCGCTATTGACGGCTGTTGAGGCGCATTGGGACTAAAGGAAGGACCGGAGGGTGTATTCGCGCCTTCTGCTCGATTGCGCCGAAGTAAACAAACGGCAGCAGGGGGCCTCCAGCGATTGTGTCCAGGATAGGGTGGTTTGCGAGGAAGGGAACTGCTTCTTCGGTTTGCGCTTCCACTTGCCGCAAGAGCTTTTCCAGATCCGCACTGACGTTCACGCGCGCGTGCCCGAACTAACAAATGATGTAATTAGAGATTGCTGCCGATGTGCAACCGAGATGCTGGGATCAGATAAGATAGCTGCAGATCAGATAACCGGTCCAATGTGTGAACGGGTGCAACGAGCCACAGAGAGCGGTCGCAAACTACTCTATCGAACCGTCACCGTGGCTGCTGGTGTGGATATAGCAAGCAGTCTCACAGAGAGAGCTAGATCGTCACGACATATTGTTTGACAGGGTTTGTCTCCGCTTGACTCAAGGTGACATGGTTGTGCAGCAGATGCACCGATGCGCATGTGTCACAGAGCAGGCCATGCATCCGTCTCACGGCTTTTGTCGCGCTTTGCCGCTCTGCAGCTTCACACTACCGTACGCTCACATATTGACCGCCTCCATTAAGGTTCGCGGAGTCATAATCCGATGGGTTCGTGACAACAGCTCCAAGGGCGAAAGGGCCGTTCGAGGGCGCGCTGATACGTGCCGTACGCCACCCGCTTCCAGACTGGAGGTTTCGGTCGTGTCGTCGGTGCAACCCAGTATTGGGCACGTTGCTAACTGCGTCGCTCTTCGCGCCATGTCTTGCCTGATGCTTCTCTTCACTACCAGGCAGGCCGTGGTAGCTGGCGCATGCCAGATAGTCTCACGTTCGCCCTAGTGTAGAAGCCGATAAGCACCAAGGAATTACACCGAACGCGTAAAAGAGTCGAGAAGAGTCATAACGAGTCGTAAAGAGCCATAATGGACCTTCCTATACCGACGACAGCTCTATCGCGGGCTGCCGGACATGGCAAAGTCCAGATGTCCGGGGTACTGTGATGGCTGCAAGCTACTTCCGCGGCTAAGGGTAAGTGGGACCAGGCGTTAGCTTCCCCACAGCTTACCAATTCTGCTGCCGTGCACACCACCTGTAACGTTGCTGACATTGCCAATAGGCCCGTCGTTAGGCGCAGCCTCAAAGTCGGTGAGAGACTCGCACACACATGCCTCCCCAAGTTACCTGCTGGCGCCATCTGCGCAGGTGCCGGTTCCCCTGGCGCGCCCAACGCCTTGGCCAGAGAACACAGCGTTGAACGCCGCGCAACGCTCGAGTCCTGCGACATGTGAAAACGGCCTGATTCCGCAATCTTCGCTCTGGTTATACCGGGGACGTCCTTGAAGCGTCTGCAATTGAAGCGCAAAGCTTTGGGCCGCCACTGTGACACAGGTGTCTGTCTACTGCCTACAATCGCACAATGTAACAAGTTCGCATGCGCGACAAATTAATCTGGGTTAGAACCACAAACCGTGTTGAGCGATCAGTTTAGAAGTCATGTTGATGGCGACATGGACAAATTCCTACCCAAGAGATGGCAATCCTGAAACGTCGAACGGGAAGGTACGATGAGGCGCGTGGTATCGCGGCATGACCTAGGTAATCAACTTCTATCGGGACAGCAGCCAAAAATTTCACGCCCATCGACGTAGTTGATATTTCGAGCGACGCAGACACTCAGGACTGTGTTTTCAACTTACGTTCAGCCTCTCTCAATTGCTGCGTAGCCTGGTTCCAGCAGCCCGTTGGGCGGCAGTCACACAACACAACGCGCCCACGTACTGTTTCTTCAAAACTCTATAACCCCAACAAACGATTTATTCTCGCTCATACTTTCAACAGTGCGTGTATAATGCCATTGATCGGGGCTGGAGACCCACGTGTTCTGTATTTCTGCTCATAGTGACACTACAACAGGCGCCTTCGAGCTTCTAGACACCGGTCAATCGAAGCCCGCAGTACGTCTTCTATCGAGAAACACGTGAAATCGCTTCGATGTATTCAATGCATGGATTTCAACTCGCCAGGCTGCTGTCACTGGACGCCACACGTTACCCCTCAAGCCTTTGCCAACCTGTCAGAAAGCTTACAACTCCACAACTCCGTCTCAGATGCGAGTTGGCTGCTGAAATGCAAGCTGTACATAAAAGGGCGCGCATACGCCTACTTGGGTCCCGACGCTGACATGCTTCATGGTCACTCTTTCCTGGAAAGGGCATTGAGTTACATGATTTGGAGGCTTTGCTGCGCTGACACCGGGCTTGAGTGTTGGGACTTTATCTCCTTGCGAACGCTCTTGTGTACTTTAACACGGGATGCTGCATTTGTTCCACCGCGACGGGAGTCTACGTCGTCTACAAACGGCACCTTTAAGCGATCATACAGGCAGTACACCGTAGTATATAATCACACATAATTCTCAATGATGCTGTTGTTCAGAAAGGAGCATTCTCACCATCGAACATGCATCCCATACGCTCAACAGCAGTGCTTCTAGCATCCCTCCTCACATCCGCCATCTCAACAACCCCCAAACACCACCCCTCCTCCTTCCATCCCAGCGCCATCATAACCCGAGACGTCGCCATCATCGGCGGCGGCTCCTCCGGCACGCACGCCGCAATCACCCTCAAAGACGCCAACAAAAGCGTCCTCGTCGTCGAAATCAAGAACCGGCTAGGCGGCCACACAGAAACCTACACAGACCCCACAACCGGTCTCGCTCAAGACTACGGCGTACAAGTCTACCATAATGAAAGTACTGTCCTCGACTACTTCGCCCGCTTCGACATACCCCTCGGAAACCCACAATACGCTGCCAACTCCGCAAACTATGACTTCAGCACCGGTCTCGCCGTCAACGTCAACGCGCCGAGTGTTGAAGATGTCGGTGCTGGACTCCAGAAGTACGCCGCGTTCCTGGCCCAATACCCCAAGCTGGAAAGCGGCATGTTCCTCCCGGACCCCGTCCCAGAAGACCTAACCATACCGTTCGGCGACCTCGTTGCCCAGCTCGGTCTCGAAGCTCTAATACAGATGATGTTCAGTACGAACCAGGGTATTGGGGATATACTCAGTGTACCCGTAGTGGAAAATGCGCGTGTCAACGGGTTGGGTTTGGTGCAGCAACTCGCTTCCGGTAGTCTTGTTACCACAGCTCGCCGCAACAACAGCGAGTTGTACGGGAAAGCGCAGGCTGAGCTCCTCGATGCAGATAGCTTGTTGCTGTCTTCTGAAGTCGTGCGTTCGGTACGGAGGGAGAGTGTTGTGGAACTCGTTGTTAAGACACCCGATGGCGTCAAGTTGGTACGCGCGAAGAAACTCCTTGTCACCATTCCGCCGCGTGTGGATCTGCTTGCGCGTTTCGATTTGCGGAGGCAGGAACGCGAGGTCTTTGGGAAACTTATCGATGTTGGGTATTATGCTGCTCTGGTCAAAAATACGGGTACACCTGACGACTTGGTCATTTACAATCGCGCGCCGGATACCCCGTACAACCTCGCTGCCCTGCCGGGTGTCTATACCATGGGGCCAACCGCTATTCCTGGTGTCAAAGCGATTTATTATGGTTCTCAACGGTCGAATGCGACATACCCACTTTCTGATGACTTTGTCAAAGGGGAGATGATCGCGGGTATCAAGAGACTGCAAACAGCAAATGCCGACAAGTTCGAAGCAACAGAGCCAGAGTTCGTGGTGTTTACATCACATGCGCCGTTCTACATGCAAGCTAGTCTTGAAGACATACAGGCTGGCATTTATGACGAGATGAACGCGCTACAGGGGGTGAGGAGCACGTATTGGAGCGGCGCGACGTTCCGAGCGCAGGATAGCAGCGCGCTTTGGAAGTTCAATAAGGAGATTGTGCTTCCTATGTTAATGGAGGGACTCTGAATATGGGGAGCGGATAGAAGTGATAGCATCTGAAACATCAATTTCTTCTCTGGATATATACAATGCTTGGTATGGAAAACGCGTCTACTGTCGAGCCTTGGCGACGGGTGTCCAGGGAGAGTACTTGGGCTTGACACTATCGTCTGTTAGTACCTGACCTGCCCATGTCGCAGTCTGGAACGTACGTGTTGTAAGGCTTGTATCCCGAGCGGGTCCATGTGAGAGTCGGCCTGTGCTCCTTTGGCTCCCAGACGCGGACCTGGCGCTGCAGAAGCGGGTCTGCCGCTGGTGACTTGTCGACCATGTATGACATCCAGGCGTGCCTGTGTAGAAAGTCAGATGTATGTTCTTCCCAAAGTCGTATTTCGCGAATTTTGGTGCGGTAGCGTACCATCCGGGTTCGATCTGAGAGCTGTCACAGCGTTAGCTTTGCTCCATGTCTCCACATTGTTGCAACATACGGATCGAACTCATGGTCCTTGTAGTCGACCCAGCGGGTTCGGACTATGCCAGTCAGATATGCCTTCATCTTTGAGATCCGCGAATCTTACGAGGAAGCTCCTCCTCCAAGTTCTCAAAGTACTTGTTGCCGTACTTGTCCTGGCCGATCAAGGTTCCGGCTTTGGTGTCACCTGTTCCCCATTAGCCCCTCCCTTAACATGGCGAGTTATTTGTGTCCAAGCGTACCGATGTTCTAAGCGTGCGGGCGACTCGATCAGTCTATCTGCGATGCAAGGTGAGGGCGCGGGGATGCGAGCGTACCGCCATTTGGTGGCCATATTCCTGCGGACGTGTTAGCATTGCCATGTCAATTACTGCAGGTATTGAAGCTTACCTTAAGTCCAACTCGGCGCAGGTTGCGCAGCGTTCTCATGAGCGTCGACATGGCGGCGTTTGGTCAATTCAGCGTTCGTGATGCTGGTCGGATGTCGCTGCTTCGCGATTGACGATGCCAAGCACCGCTCTCACGCCTTTCCCAAGGCATACTAGTGCGAGCATGATCCTTGTCGCCCAACCCCAAAGTGCATCAAAACTTCAGGAGTCGAAGCACATACCAGCATCCGGCGTCATAGCGAGTGGCCAACATGATAATAAGAAGCTTATTACGCGCCCAAGCACCGAAGATCGCGGGGAGGAGAACTTTCCGCATCCCAACTCGGACATTCAGGACAACGCGAAGATATTCGACTTCGAGTGCTGAGATGGCTTCACCTGTGCCTCAGAGTCAGGCGTCTATGCTTGCCACGATAACAACGGATCTGGATAAGATTGCGCCGCGATTTGAGATTCAGCCAGATCAGATTGAGATTCTTCAGACGCCTGCTGAGTTCTATCAAACATTGAAGGTAGGTCGGTCTTTGTTGTTGTCATTTCCCACTCACTCTTCTGTTCTGTTTCTCTATTGGAACGTTCAACGCATATAAGACAAGCTTCGTCTCATGTTTCAATCAGCGTGCTTCTTTACTATCTGTCATTCTGCCAATGGGCACACTACTCTCCCATGCCTATTTCCTTCTGCCCTTGTACCGTGTTTGCGAACTTCATGGCAACATTCCATCCCCAAATGAATGACTAGAGGGACGGAGGTGCTGTGAGCAAGCTTACTCGTGGTTATGGAACTTCGTACTAACGGAGTCAGGACAAAATATCCAAAGCTCAATACCGGGTCTATCTGTCGACACTGTACATCGGCAAGACCGAACATGAACTCATCTCAACTATCCGAGATGCTCTTCAACGTAACCCCAATCTCAAGGTCTCTTTCCTCACCGACGCTCTTCGCGGAACCAGAGAAACACCAAACCCTTCAACTGCCTCTCTCATGACACCTCTCATCTCCGAGTTCGGTCCAGACCGCGTAGAAGTACGCATGTACCATACGCCCAATCTAACCGGCCTACGAAAGAAGTACATCCCAAAGCGCATCAACGAAGGTTGGGGTCTGCAGCACATGAAGCTGTACGGTGTCGACGATGAAATCATCATGTCCGGAGCAAACCTGAGTGAAGATTACTTCACGAATCGACAGGATCGGTATCACTTATTCAAGTCAAAAGACTTGACGGACTACTTCAAGAGGATACACGACGGTGTCGCGAAGTTAAGCTTCGACATACAGCCAAGCACCCAAGAAGGAAGCGGAGGCTACACCATGACCTGGCCAACAACCAACGCCGCGCCCTCACCACTAGACTCGCCCTCGAACTACAAATCCGCCGCGGAGAAGCACCTCGCCCACCTCCTCCTACCATCCAACTCCCCAACGACCACATCCCCCTCCACCTCCACCTCCACAACAACAATCTACCCCATCCTCTCCCTCGTCCCCCTCCTCCCCTCCTCAACCGAACTCCCCGCTCTAACAAAAATCCTAACCCACCTCACCACACCCCCACTACAAAACTCGTCCTGGACCTTCACAGCCGGCTACTTCAACATGACGCCCTCCTTCCGGCGCCTCCTCCTCTCCACGCGCCCCGCCTCCGGCACAGTGCTAACCGCCCACCCCCACGCCAACGGCTTCTACGGCTCCAAAGGCGTAAGCGGCCTCCTCCCAGCCGCATACACGCACCTCGCGAAATCCTTCTTGCGCAAAGTAAAACACGAAGGCCTCAGCGAGAGCATCGTGCTCAAAGAGTGGAAGAAGGGTATGGTGGGCCAGGAAGGCGGGTGGACGTATCATGCCAAGGGGCTGTGGGTTACGTTTCCTTCTGCCAATGGGGGAGGGGAGAAGGAAGATCCCAGCTTAACGGTTATTGGGAGTAGTAATTATACGAAGAGGGCGTATGAGTTGGATCTTGAGGCTAATGTTGTTATTGCGACGGAGGATGCCGGGTTGAGGAAGAGGTTGGGCGAGGAGGTTAGGTGGTTGGGGGAACATGCGAGGGAGGTGGGTGAGAAGGAGTTTGAGAGGCCGGAGAGGAAGGTTGGGATGGATGTTAGGATGGCGATGTGGGCTGTTAGGGTGTTGGGTGGTGCTTTGTGAGGAGGGTTGCGGAATGTGTGTATATCACTATGTAACAGGAACTGCGATGTTTTGTGCAGAGCACGGGCAGAGGATGTAGCACTTGGGTGGTTGAACATTTTACTTTATTAGCATTAGGAGGAGCTATGAAAGAAGTGTGATGGGTATATATGCAGAAGTCAAGAAGGAGACAAATCGACATCCAGCTTGCGCTGCCAAATTCTTTGCATCTTGTGCCACGACTCCGAAATATCAGTCCAACGAGATCACTTCTTATATGTGACCCCTCTAGCTCACTCAGGTGTAGACCAGCAGTTCCGGGTTGCTCGCCAGACCACCAGTCCCCGATCGCCGACGACGCGGCTAATGGTATTCCAGATGCCGTCGTCGGCAAAGTCCATATCATCAAGGTTCAGATGCTGTCGATAGCTCCAGACTTCCTCTAATGAGACGTCTTTTGAGTTGTTTGGGCTTTGATATGGTATCAAAGCATATGCTGATCGTGGCGCTACCACGTACACAGAGCCACGGTCGGCTTTTGGTGGCTTTCGTGTCCGACAAGGCGGTAGTGCTTCCTTGACCTTTTCGATCATCTGTTCGGCTGGACAGCCCATCAGATCGACGGTCTTCAGCTCCTCGTTCTTGCCGTTCAGTAGCCACGTTGGCGGGCTGTACGTCTTCCACCAGAACGCATTGGAAACTGTCTCGTTCGTCTTGGCAATGTTCATCTGAACTGGTACGATGCCACCCTGGTGGTATACGCCCATCAGGATACCCAGGGCAACGTTGAAAACTACCCAAGTAACGATCCAGCTCTTTCGAATGCGCGGAGTCGGTAGACGTATCGAGGAGAGTATTAATGGTACGGCGGGAAGTAAGAATCGAGCTTCTTGGTGTGGGAAGATGCTGAGAAGTGCGACGCCAGATATGGCTGATATGAGAATCATAGAGATATGCGCCCTGCGCAGAAAGAACAGAAGTGGTGCCGCCGGACCGAGGAGTTGAGGGAGATTGACGAGGAAATGTTGGTATCGTGGGTGTATGCCATGCTGGGCAAGGTTCGCGGAATCCGAGTTGTAACGGAAATTATTGAAAGGTGTGATGACGGCGCTGCCGATGAGTTTGGAGAAGGTGAATTCGCCGGGGGTATAAAACGCCGTGTCTACGCAGATAGCAAAGAAAGCTGTGAGAAGAGCGAACGTTGCAAGGAAGACCAAAGAGAACGGTCTGTGGCTGTTAGTGAAGGTCTAGAAGACGAGAGAGGCTGACTTACTTGCGCTTGAAGTGGGGTAGTAAAGTCGTCGCAGGAAGAAGCAGGAATGCTGGAAAGGTGATGCGATTAAAGATGCCTACGACGACCATGAAGCCGAGGATGGACGAGGCCAGGATGCCAGAGCGCTTCTGCACCTTGCGTTAGCCGCATATCCTAGATCGGCGAGCGGACCGAAACAACTCACCTTATCGTCCGTTATCCTCTGGATCAAGACCAGGCTCCAGAGCACCAGCAGCGTCTCGATGCTGTTGGAGAAGGTATGCGTCTGGAACGTCCAGGTCACATACGACGATGCGACGAGCATTACGGCAACGCGACGCGCGCGGGGCGAAGCGACCAGCTCGTGGATAGCCCAGTCCTCCATCACGACACTCAGCGTCAACATGAGTACGCGCAGCGCCCAGTATACGACCGACGGCGAGACGTCATATCCGAAGCCCTCCCATAGCCAGCGCAAGATGTACATGGGCCAGCCGTATGCGAGCCATAGTGGGAAGGTGCTGCGGATGGGGTTCTCGGAGGTGAACTCCCAGGTTTCGTGGACGGGGTAGGAGAAGACACGCCCTGGATACAAGTCAGTCGTGGCCACGGGCGCATACTCAGACAGTGTCGCGACATACCGGCAATGACCTCGGGGCCCTGGAAGTTCTCGTCCGGGTGCAGATAGCTCGGCGATAGTGCAAAGTAGATGCGCACCAGGATCAGCAGGAAATAGACACGCCGCCACATGATGTCGAAAGTCGAGATGTGCCGTTTGGGGGTTTGGCGGGGTTGAGCAGGCGCATATCTGTCCGCTGTGGTGTTTGTTTTCGCAAAGTGAGGCCAACAAATGTTTAGTGGCCTACGTCAATCAATCACCAGTTGCACGCGGATAGGGGGGCCGGTTGCAAGAGCGAATGGTCAGTTATGCTTTGCGACTCGTGCACTGTGATGATCTGCGAACTACATGGCGAGCAGAAGCATGGCTGATATACCGGCCGACTATCATGCGGCCTGATCAGATGCGATGTGGCAGCAACCGATGGTGCGTCGGACTTGTCCACGGCTGTCTAGGCTGCCTTTGCATGCGGATCCGTTGCAGGCAGAAAGGTCACGTGGCGCAACATCAGTGGATCAGGTACCCAAGTACCCCTTCAAGGATACGTGTAGATGGGGTTGAAGTTCATGCGGCAGATCTGATGTTGCGATTCTGGTGTGAGCAATACTGAAACGTATCAAGTAGCCTTTTGAGTCACCGCGCATTTGGCCCGCTGGCGACTCTGGCTGATCCTTGCACCCTTACCTACCCAGACAGATGTCGCCGGGGACTCAACGTACATCTCTTCTAAGGACAGGTATCTGGAACGGGTCGTGCTGGCCCCAGGCATCATCCTCCGTGAGTCGAATCCACGCCGTATTCTGGTAACTTCTGCCGGCTGTGTGCGGCGTGGAGTCATCCTCCGTGCCATTCGCGGGGGTTCGCCCAAAGTTCAAGTGAGCGCAAACACGGCACAAGCTGCTGGCCCACAAACGAGGAAACAGCAATTCACAATGTCTTTCTTGAATCAGCAAGCAGCAAAGTGAAGCCGTGTAACAAAGCTGGTTCAAAGCACATACAACCTGCGTTCTCCCGTCACGACAGCGTCCCTTTGATGATTGCAGCCTTGCGCCTTGCCCCATCGAGCGAGCTTGGCGCCTGAGCTTAAACAGCGAGGCGGAGTTGGACCGTGGTTGCCTCTCTCACCCTCACAGCGCGCAAACGTGGAAGCAAAACGCCTGCGCCTATATAATCACTGCCCACCCGAGCCCCAGACGCTCTTCCCACACACATTCTCCATCAACTCTCAACGCAACGGCCGATCAACATCTGCCGCTCAACTCCATTACAGCTTACCCCACTTCTACAACCACCTACAATACCAACCTAAGCTATCGCAATGGCTACTACCAACTCTGAAGGCGTCAAGATGATCAACATCACCACCTCCGATGGCATCCAAATGGACGTCGAGCGCCCGGTCGCCGAGCGCTCCATCCTGATCAAGAACTTGCTCGAGGATCTCGGTGGTGAATCCTCAGAGTCCATCCCCATTCCCAACGTATGTACTCACCTTCCCACCCCTACCAAGAACAGCCACTAACATGTCGCAGGTCAACGAGGCCGTCATGAAGAAGGTCATCGAGTGGTGCGGCCACCACAAGAACGACCCGCCCGCCACCCAGGACGACGACTCCGACTCGCGCAAGAAGTCCACCGACATCGACGAGTGGGACCAAAAGTTCATGCAGGTCGACCAGGAGATGCTGTTCGAGATCATCCTCGCCGCCAACTACCTCGACATCAAGGCTCTTCTCGACGTCGGCTGCAAGACCGTCGCGAACATGATCAAGGGCAAGTCCCCCGACGAGATCCGCAAGACGTTCAACATCCAGAACGACTTTACCCCCGAGGAGGAGGAGCAGATCCGCCGCGAGAACGAGTGGGCCGAGGACCGCTAAATGCGCGCACCTGGGTACGCTTGACCTCTTTACCTCCACATCGCATTGGTCAACGGACCGCGGACAAATACGGACCGGCCGGTGCATATGTTGAAGGGTTTCGTCTCCGGCGCAGCGGAGTTCATGGTTGTGGTATTTTTCAAAGCGCATGATGCTGTGATCGTCCTTGTATTGGGCACCAGCAGGTTATGGAATTACGGTGGCTTACTGTACGTTGCATTCGATACGCCCGTTTGTGAACTATGGCAGGTAGCTCAATCAAAACGTTAAATCACTTCTCCCCATCTTTTACCTTTTGTGACTCCGCATGTAACCTCGGCTTTCCGTATGACGTGATCTGCAAGTTGTGGAAAGTACTCGCTCGGCTCTTCTACGTCACCGCGATACACCGTGATATATGCAATTTGATAGTGAAGAAGATTCATGTTGAACTGATGGTCATTCCGAGTTGAGCTTATTCTTCTATACATTTTCATAACCCATGCCCGAGCTAAATCTCCAAAACGCCAATATCAACTGCAGACGCCTTCAGTAGGTGTCTCTCGCTACAAGGTCGCATATCTACCACCCCCTCTTAGCGAGCTTCTCGTCCTCGCCCATGCTACCACAGTTGATACCAACCATAGCCTCGCCCAGATCCATGCTAACCTCCATAAGCACCTTGGGGTCCTTGTAATGCGTAACCGCCTGCACAATAGCCTTAGCCCGCTTGGCCGCATCCCCAGACTTGAAGATACCCGAGCCAACGAAAACACCATCACAGCCCAACTGCATCATCAACGCGGCATCAGCGGGCGTCGCAACACCGCCCGCCGCAAAGTTGACAACAGGCAGACGGCCCAGCTTAGCCGTCTCCTTGAGCAGCGCGTAGTCGACCTGCAGCTCCTTTGCGTACGAGTACAGTTCCTCGTCCGACATGCTCTTTGCGCGCGCAATCTCGCTGTTTACAGTGCGCATGTGGCGCACGGCTTCGATGACGTCGCCCGTGCCGGCTTCGCCTTTTGTTCGGATCATGGCGGCGCCTTCGGAGATGCGGCGGAGGGCTTCGCCGAGGCCGCGGCAGCCGCACACGAAGGGGATGCGGAAGGGGTGCTTGGAGACGTGGTGGATGGCGTCGGCGGGGGTCAGGACTTCGGATTCGTCAATGTAGTCTACGCCTAGGGCTTCGAGGATCTGGAGTGTCGGTGTTAGCAGATGATTTCGTGGGTTTGGGAAGGTGCTGGGTGTACCTGGCATTCGACGAAATGGCCAATTCGCGCCTTGGCCATGACGGGGATGGTTACTGTGTCCATGATCTCCTTGATCATCTTGGGGTCGCTCATGCGGGCTACGCCACCCTGGGATCGAATGTCGGCGGGGACGCGCTCCAGAGCCATGACGGCTGATGCACCGGCTTCTTCTGCTATCCGTGCCTATGAGGAGACATTGGTTAGCAATTGGTCGCGTTACCCAGAGCACCGCGTAGTGAGCTTGGAGAAGACGAAACTTACTTGCTCGGCGTTGACAACGTCCATAATGACTCCGCCCTTCAGCATGCGTGCCAGACCGGCCTTGACGGCAAAGTTGTTCTCACCATCCTGTGCGCCGTGGCCGTTTGTGGTGGGGAGTTCAGTTGCCATTGTGAAGTATCGTGAGATCTGATCGGAGGTAATCGAGTAGATGTCGGCGGTAAGGCAAAAGTAAAGTAAGATCGGGTCAATTAGTATTGTAGTAGAGCAAGGTACTTTCACAGACGATGAGGTATTAAAGTCTAAGGGGAGGAAAATAAGGTAAGATCGTGAGTCAAAGTCGTCCGCGATGTATTACCTGTACATGTACCCGCGGAATCGCAATAATTTTTTGCCTTTCTAAGGTCCCTCCATCCCGCCTTCGCAGCTCGGAGGTTGCCCCGCCATGTTCCGCGGCGGCGTAGGGACATCTAGACCCCGCTATGCGCCCTTTGACACACGCGATGTGTATGCGCCAATCAGCCGTCGGGAAAGTGCGATCCATGGCCGTGAATTGCCGTCGGCTTAGTCAGAGGATTTGAATGGTTTCATTTGGTTATGTAGTGCTGTCGCTGAGAATGGTACAAGCTGTCCCGTCATCTGATGTAATTTCGGGCCGAGTGGGGCAGTAGCCGGCCCTGGACCCTGATAGACGGTGGAAACGCCAGGCTCCATGCATGTCGCCGTATACACCACTAACGCTGTAAGTATGCCAATGCCGTGCCAATACCGAAGACTACCTTGCGATGCATAAAAGCGCTGTTCAGAATGCTGGCACCCTAGTTCTCTAGTACGGTGCTGTCTCCCGCTTCAACCACTCCAATGTCAAAGAGTCATTCTCGAAGAATTTGCTCGTCTTCTCATAGACCTCCTTGTGGTATTCGTTGATGAAGCTCTTCTCGTCTTCTGTAAGCAAGCTCATGTCGACAAGGTTCCTGCAGTGTGGAGTCATCGTAACATGCTCGAATCCCAAGAACGGCTTGTCACCGAACTTGTGCTTCGTCTCGACTTCTCGGACCATGACCATGTTCTCGATGCGGATGCCGAACTTGCCATCTTCGTAGTATCCAGGCTCGTCAGATACCACATTCCCTACAGCCAAGGAGACTTCAGAATATTGAACCCTAGTGCCAATTCCGATAGGACCCTCGTGTACGTTGAGGAACGAGCCCACGCCGTGTCCAGTGCCGTGACGGTAGTCGAGACCTTCCTGCCATAGGAACTGGCGAGCCAGACTATCTAATGCGAAGCCTGTCGTACCCTTGGGGAACCTGACGCGCTCGAGAGCCATGTTGCCCTTGAGCACAAGCGTATATGCGGTACGTTCCATCTCGGTCGGCTCCGTGAAATGCATGGTCCTCGTTGTGTCTGTAGTACCATCTCGATATTGCGCTCCAGAATCGCAGAGGTAGATAGCTTTGGGGTCGATGACCGAGCACTCACCCTTCTCCGGCTTGTAGTGGATAACAGCTGCATTCGGCCCCGTCGACGAAATGGTGTCGAAAGAAAGACCCATGAACATGTCGTGCTTCTTACGAATCTCCTCGAGCTTGTCGGCACCGTCAACTTCATCAAGTGTGGCCTTCTTGTTGATGAGTTGGTCCTCCAACCAAGCGAAGTACTCGCTCAGCGCAGCCCCATCACGGATGTGGCATTGACGCATACCCTCCAGTTCGACTTCATTCTTGACTGCCTTTGCATCTCCAACCGGACTACGGGTTTCTTCAACCTTGTCGTCCCCGCCAAGGGCCTTGTTCAGGGCCCACGATGCTCGGTTGGAAGTCAGGAACTTCTTCTGTATCTCGGTCTTATCCATGGCCTCGAACAGCTCCTTGCTCAGCGATGTGACATCTCCAAATATAGCCTCGTATGGTCGGATCGTAACCTTGTCGCCCAAGTGCTTCTTAACATCCTCGGGGAGCTTGCTCTCGTCGACATATAGGGTGGCTGCGGTGGACGTGACGACGGCGTAGGAGAAGAATACGGGGTTGTAGGGAATGCTGCATGTTGTCAGTGACATACGCTGATTGGGAGAGAATGCTCATACTCGCTGCCGCGGAGGTTGAAAAGCCATGCGACCTCGTCGAGCATGGATACGACGAAGCCCAGGCTCTTCCGCTTCTCAAGTTCCTTGCGCAGGTCCTCAATCTTGTCTTCGAAGCTCTTTCCAGAGTATTTCTCAGGCTGCACAATGACCTTCTCACTCGGTCGGGCTGGCCTTTTGTCTCCCCATACGAGGTCGATCAGGTTCTCGTCAATGGCCTTGTACTCGCCGCCCTTCTTCTTGATCTTGTCGGCAAGCTTGCGGGCGTCTGCTGCAGTGACGACGCTGGGGTCTACACCTACGACCTTGCCTCCCTCGGCCTGGTCTGCGGTCCACTCCTGGATGGTAGGTACATCCTGTATGCCTTGCTTCAGCAGCTCCCAGTTGCTGTCCAGCTGCTTCTCGGCCTGGTTGAAGTAGCGTCCGTCGGTGGAGAGGGCGGCCTTGTCGTGGGTGACGACTGCATAGCCAGCGGAGCCAGTAAAGCCACTGATGTATTCTGAGTGGTGTCAATGGATGCGCTGCGATAGGTAGCGGGGGCCTGACCTCGTCGCGCGTCACATGGGGCGATGTACTCGCTCTGGTGGCTGTCTTCAGACGGGACCACTACTATGCGTCAGCTATATGTCATCACATGTCTGCACGGGCACGCCTACTGTAGATGTCGACATTGCGCTCCTTCATGAGCTTGCGGAGGTCCGCCAGTCGCTTGGTCGTGTCTACCTTGGACATGTCGATGGCACGCAGGGCAGCAGAAGCGTGGAAGGGTCTGGCTCGGAAAGATGGCGTCCTTGCGGCTACATATGCAGCAGCTGTCGCGTGGGAGCGCCCAAGAAAACGCGGGAGGAGCATATAGGGTATGCCACGGTCTCGCGCCTACGATCGGGACATGCACAACACCCCGCCGTGCCCGCCCACACCACAGCGACAACGCCGCAGCCAGTCCCGCACTAAGCGCAATCGCCAGGGCTCCAATCAAGCCTTGCCAAGCGCAAGAGCCCTCACCCCCAGGCACCGTAGGGAGGCGCATCTGTATTTATTGCAACACCAGGTCCCCGACGTTGGACAGTCACTAACATGAGCTTCCGTCGCCGTAGTCTGCTTCCAGTTTTGCCCCACCATACGCGCAGGTAGAGGCAACCTCGCGCAGCCTCACCCAACCCCCGGCCCTGCACCTTGATATTTCGGCACAGCCTAGAACCGCCATCCCTAACAATCTCGAAATACGACGGGCTATGTCTATCGTCTAGGGGGCCAATCGCAGTCACCATCGCACTCGATTTTGTGTACCCTCTTTTCGCGCCTTCCACATCTCACGTCGCACCTTCCTGCTTTCGGTAACGTCTGACCTGGTTCCTGGAACCCTGACATCTGGCAGCAAAACTGACAGCAGTCCGTAGTGCAAAGTCTCTTGAGAGAGCTCAGCATGGCGAGCAACGGGGCCTTTCCTCTGCCTTACGAGGAGATTGAACGCCTAGTAAAGTCCATCTACGAACCCGGCCAAGCAAAGAAGATCGCCGAAACCGAGGCCACCCTTCGCGTTCTTCAACGCTCTCCCCAAGGCTGGGAAATTGCAGATGCCCTCTTGAAGAGCGACAACGAGCAGGTTCGCTTCTTCGGTGCCCTGACTCTCACCGTCAAGCTCAACGCCGACTCGGCTGAACTAAGCGAAGAGGAATCCGAGCAACTGCTTTCAACACTTATTCATCACCTTGTCTCACGCCCTAGCTCATCCATCGCCACCCGGAAAGTCAGCTCGACCTTGGCACAGTACTTCTCAAAGCCCATTTCCGTATGGACCCACTGCATCAGGAGTCTTGCCGCATCGTTTGCCGCCCAGCGTCCAGTCCTAGACGAGGCTTTGAAAGAACATCCTTCAACATGGGATCTCCTTCCGCAATTCTCCGATGAGCAACTTCTAGTTATGCTTGACTTTGCCATGAGCTTAGCAGATGAAGCCAAGAAGCCGTCTAACACCCCAGACCGGAAGTCACAAGAGCGGATGGTAGCAAACGTAGAGAGCGTTGAGATTCTTCTCCACGTTTCATTCGGTCGTGGCATTAAATGGCTGTCAATCTCCATCGACGACCCCAACTACGCACAATCAGTGCAGCAAGGCGAGAAGATTTGCATCGCCGCTCTCAAGTGCTTTACCGGGTGGATCTTCTACGCCCAATCCGAGTTCAAAGACGACCTCGAGAAGCTCCAACACCTCCGGTCAGTGAATGAGCTCGCACTGACGTGTCTGGAGTATCATGTTGAAGATGCCATGGAACTAGTAGCTGAGATCCTTGAGAACTACCCTACTTTCTTTGAAGCAAAACATCAAGAAATGCTCTGGTCGGCAATCTCAGGTCCATGGGGCATGGAGATACTCAATAACTCTGACGCTGAAACCGTTTCCCTCGCCCGGATCATTGTCGCCTACGGACAGATTCTGCTTGAAACCAAGGTTATCTACACGCAGCCAGAAAGCACACATCACCAGCAGGTCATGTCCTTCTTGCATAATCTTCTCAAATACCCAGACCCGGTAGGCGCTGAAGACGAGATTGCACCTGTGGTGCTCGACTTCTGGAGCAATTATGTCAGCGCTATCGCCGAAGAAACCTTCTTGTATGCCGCTGGAGAGCAAGTGCCCGACTGGATGAATACTGCGAAGACCAATGTTCTCCAAGCAGTTTCTGAGCTCGTACAGAAGATCATCTATCCACCTGCTGATGTCACCGAATCATGGGATTCGGACGCAAGGAAGACGTTCAAGGTCTTCCGCATTGACGTCCGAGATATCATCATGGAGGCATACGACCCGTTACGTGACGTGCTCACTGACCAGTTTGTCGATTTCGCCTTACGCGGACTAGGTGCAGGTGACTGGTTAGAGCTCGAGACTGGACTGTTTGGTCTGATCGCCATCGCCGACGCTCTAACTCAAAATTCCGACAATCGTCTAACCCGACTGTTCGAGCAACCATTGTTCGCAACCATATCCAGCACTCCTGGTGTGCCGGCTATCACCCGAAGGACCGCTGTGGAACTTGTCGCCGCCTTGAACCACTTCTTCCTCCGAAACCCGCAGTTCCTCCCT